GATTGGACTCAGTTCAATCTCTGATTTATGATGACAGCCCTTGTAATTGTTTGTTTTAGCTATTCTTGTGAGCCGTTAGAAACTTGTTTTGAATTTTTAATGTTTGTAAACCAAGATTGAGAGAACCTCTTGGATCTTAAAACACTTGAACGTTATAGTGTGTTTAGGTGCTGAAAACCTTACAAAGTTACTGCATTTAGTTTAAAAGATACCCTGGAGCAGCGGGAAGATAAACTAGGAGTCAAAAGACATGGGCTTCCAGTGAGGGCTTAGCCAATCTTTGTAGGAACCGTGAGAACCACGGTCAAAGTGCCGTCCTTCAAAACTTCAGCTTCCTCATCCATGATGAGAGTAACACCTGTACTCCTCATCTTACAGAGTTGTAGTAAGCATCAAAGAGCATATGGAAGGATTTTACAAGTTAAATACCATTATGTAGCATGGTGGTTAGTGTCCTTACAATTCTGAAGTGACTGATGAGTAGGTCTAAATATAGGGCCATGGGTTTTGGAGTTTTTTGACAGTGAGCAGGTATTTTGAATAAAAGGGGTCATCTAAGAATATAAGTTCTTTAGTAAGGAACAGAATTTGCTTTAATGAGTTATTTGGAATTGTCTTCTTAGAATAACTGAGTGGATAGAAAAAAAAATCTGAGATCCTGTGTCTTAGTCTGACTATGATGTAAATTAACTGTCATTATAGCACAGCCAGGAGCAATACTGAGTTGCTTTGGAATTCCTCTGTGACTCTTAGTCAACATCTTACAAAACAACATCACCTACAGGAACCATCCTGATTCTTTTTGGAATCAAGTGGGAATTTAAGTTACATGACTAAGTTAAATAAAGTATCCAGAAACTAACATCAGTGTGCAGGTAATGATTTTATTTTCCCTTGAAAGTACTGTGTTTTGTGGAGGTTTGTAGTATAGAGAAAGCATTTTCTAGGAATTGGGAGACTTCTATGGATCCTAGGTGGAAAAGACCCCTTTAGAGAATAACTAAGAGGTAAATTCTTTCAAAAGCAATCTTGCTTGCAAAGCCATTCTTGAGTTTGGAGGAGGAACTAATCTGTGGTGCCAGTCTTCATGAGGTTAGGCTAGGGCAGAAACTGGTTAAGACTTCCATTGTATGTATCTGAACATTTTTTTCTTTGAGAATTTCTTAAAACTATTTAGAATTTTTTAAAAGGGTGAATTTAAAGTTATGCAAATATTACATCTTAAATCTTGGGATATTAAGGGTTTTTATTAAAATAATTCTCCTTCTTTATGACTCTCCCTCTTTTCCCTAAGTAACAGTATTCTCTCTCTCACACTCACGCACACACAGATACATTTTTTATATCAGATGTAGTACAACTCTGCTCCTATGAAGTCTTCCTGGTTTTTTCTCCTTGAAAGTATAAATTAGTTTCATCATAGACAGGGTCAGACAATAGGTATTTCCTTATGTGCACAGAGATTTTTTTTATACCACAGAAGACTTAGCTATGTGTACTGCAGAATGACATCTTCCTTTATGTTGAGAGAGATAAAATGTAACTTTTTAAGAAAGTAATTCAAAATAGAAGGATTGCAGCATGAACTTAAATTTTTTGAAATAATTACTAACCCAGTAACAAAACTTTCTTTAGTTGTGTAGTGCATATGGAAAACCTGGGTAGAGGTGAGATTTCTGTCCCACCAGGGAATACTGTTCTCTTTTTGCAAGTGCCCCCCACCACACACACATGTGGCATTTAGATGACTTGGCTGTGTCTAGTACAGATTGGACTCAGTTCAATCTCTGATTTATGATGACAGCCCTTGTAATTGTTTGTTTTAGCTATTCTTGTGAGCCGTTAGAAACTTGTTTTGAATTTTTAATGTTTGTAAACCAAGATTGAGAGAACCTCTTGGATCTTAAAACACTTGAACGTTATAGTGTGTTTAGGTGCTGAAGATGAAAGAAAGAGTAAGACCCTAATGGTGACTTCTACCAAACATGTAAGGAAGTCATTGTACATGAACTCTTCCAGAAAACTGAAGAACAAATACTTCCTAGCTCACTTTATGAGACCAGCATTACCCTGATAGCAAAGCCAGACATAGACATTACAAGAAAAGAAAAACAGAGACCAATGTTTCTCATGAACATAGATGTAAAAATTCTAAGTAATAGCAAATGGAATCTGACAATGTATAAAAAGGATAATATGTCACAAACCATTTGGGAATAAACTAAAAAAGAAGAACCATAAGATTATCTTAGGAGATTAAAAAAGCATTTGACAAAATTCAATTTCTATTCCTGATAAAAAGTTTAAGAAAACTAGGAATAGAAGGGAACTTCCTCATCTGATAAGGGGCATCTATAAAAAACACCCTGCTAACATCATACTTAATGGTAAAAGACTTATTGCTTTCCCCCTAAGATCAGGAACAAAATGAGGATGTCTATGCTCCCTGCTTCTACTCAACATGTACTGGAGATTCTAGGGAGTGCAATTTAAAAAAGAAAGAAAGGCATCTAGTATGGAAAAGAAGTAAAACAGTTTAAATTTGTAGGTGACATTATTTATGTAGAAGAATCTTAAGAAATCTATAAAAATGCTATTGGGGCTAATAAATCAGTTTAGCAACTTTGCAGGATCTAAGATCAATATACAAAAATCAATTGTATTTCTGTATCCTAGCAGTGAACAATTGGAAAATGAAATGAAAATTAAAGTCATACCATCAAATTAAGTGAAACACTTAGAGATAAATCTAAGATGTTCAAGACTTATACACTCAAAAATAGAAAACATTGCTGAGAGAAATTGAAGACCTAAATGAGTGGAGAAAGATACAGTGCTCATGGGTCAAAAGACTGTTATTAAGATGGAACTTCTCCCCAAATTGGTCTACAGAATTGACATCACCCCTCAAAATGTTAGCAGACTCTTTTGTAGAAATTGACAAGCTGATTCTAAAATTCATATAGAAATGCAGAGAACCTAGAATAATAAAAACAACTCTGAAAAAAGAACAACAAAGTTGGAGATGTAGCACTACCTGAACACAAGACTTATTATTAAAACAGTTATTAAGATGGAACTTCTCCCCAAATTGGTCTACAGAATTGACATCACCCCTCAAAATGTTAGCAGACTCTTTTGTAGAAATTGACAAGCTGATTCTAAAATTCATATAGAAATGCAGAGAACCTAGAATAATAAAAACAACTCTGAAAAAAGAACAACAAAGTTGGAGATGTAGCACTACCTGAACACAAGACTTATTATTAAAACTAAAGCAATCATGATTATGTAGTGTTGGAATTAAGATAGAAAAGTAGATCAGTGGAACAGTATAGAGAGTCCAAGAATAGACTCACATGTATGTGGAATACTAATTTTCAACAAAAGTTCAATGGAGAACTTTTCAACAAATGGTGGAGTACTTAGATGTTCACATGCAAGATATTGAATTTAGAGTCATACTCACATTATGTACAAAAATCAACTAAAAATGAATCATACACCTAAATGTAAAACCTAAAGCTATAAAACTTGTAGAGCAAAACATAGGAGAAAATCTCTGTGACTTTGGTTTAGGCAACGATTTCTTAAATATGACATCACCAGCACAATTAATTTAAAAAATTGTTAAATTGGACATAATCAAAATTAAAAACTACTCTTCAGAAGACATTATTAAGAGAATGACAGAAGGCACAGTTTGGGAGAAAATATTTATAAAATGTGTATCTGATAAAAGATATTCAGAACATACAAAGAATTCTCAAAATTTTATAAGAGAATTAACAACCTAATTTAAAAATTGGCAAAAGATAAACCCTTTTGCCAGAAAAAATATATGGATGGCAAATAAGCACATGAAAAAATGTTCATCATTTGATACAGGGAAATCCAAATTGAAAACACAATGAAGTAACACTGTTTACCATTAAAATGGATAATTTGAAATGACTGCCTACACTAAGTGTTGGTGCACACGTGGAGGAACTTGAACTCTCATGCACCTTGTGGGAATGTAAAATGGTATAACCACTTTGGAAAACAGTTTGGTCGTTCTTTTAAGAGTTTAAAATATGCCTAGCATATGATCTAGCCATCTACTTCTAGGTATTTACCTAAGAGAAAAGAGAGCATGAGTCCCTACAGAGATTTGAACAAAAATTTTCATAGTGGTTCTCTAATAGTTCAAAACTAAAAACAACTCAAAAGTTCATCATCGAGTAAATGGACCAACTGTGATGGGCCCATCAGGTGGACTGTTACTCAGCAGTGTAAAAGGATGACCTGTTGATGTTGGTGTGCCACGGATGAATCTCCAAGATGCTATGCTGATGAGTGAAGACAAAAAGTGACTACTTACTCTGATGAAATTTCATACCCTTAGGAAATTCTAGAAAAGGTAAAACTATGGTGATAGAAAGCAGATCACTAATTGCCTGGGGTTGAAAGGAGAAATTACAAAGGGGCACAAGGAAACATTTGGCAGTGATGGATATTTTTATTGTCTTGGTAGTGCTAATGGTTTTATATGAATATATACATACATCAGAGCTTATGAAATTGTACTGTTTAAGCATGTACAGTTTATATATTATACTGCAATAAAACTTAACAGAATTGATGCGCAATACTTTGATGAATACTTAGTACACTTTATTTCATATGACTCGTTCTATTAAGTAGGTGGATAGGTAGAATTAGCAATTGGAAGTGAAGAAACTGAGGCTTTGAGGAGGTTACCTAACAGCTGGCTGAGAGCAGACCAGGGCCATCTGCCACCCATCCATTGGTGCCCACTGCCAGAGGGACTTGTTCATCGTGTTGGGACTCCACACTTAAAGTCCTAGATTCTAAAACTAAGGTTATTTTCTTTTTCTTTTTCATTACTCCCTTGGGAAAATTCATTTTATTTATGTTCTCTTGATGTTTCTCCCCATAGACATTAACAGAAAACAGGTGCTGCATGATTTTGAACTGTGTCTGATGCTCTCCCTCAGGGCGCAGTCTTTTGCCGAGCGCCTGCGACTAGGAATTGCAGTCATTCACGGAGAAGCACAGGATGCCGAGTCTGACTTGGTGGATGGACGGCATTCCCCACCCATGGTCAGGAGTGTAGGGGCCATTCACCCCAGCCTGGAAATCCCCAGTAAGTGTTCTGGCCCCTCTTTGTTGTTTTCCTCCTTTGTTTTTAAAGCTGACTTAATTTTTTTCTTTTTCAAATGTGAATTATCTCTTCTGTTTTTTAAATTGGCAAAAACTGATCAAGAGTCACACTACCGCAAAGGCCCCCTTTCTGCTACCAGGTGACTCCCCTGTGTAAGAGCTAAAGAAGGCTGTATGGGGCAACTGCATTGTGAACTTTATGTGGAGAATCTTTGATATTTTTACATGGATTTACTGAGTCGATGTATCAAATAAATAGTGTTCCTCGCAAAACTATAGTAAGGGCTCCGAGGAAGAAAAAATACTTAACAAGGCTTAACCAGCTGAACTTCCAGGAAATAGTCCTATTTGAAGAAAGGAGGGAGCAAAGATAGCAGCGGGCCCCCTGGCTGCAGGAGAGGCAGCCTGCTTCAGGGTGACTGAGAATATGGTTAAATTAGTTTTTCTGCACCATATTTCTGTGGTAGTGGTATTTAAGACTTTAGCATCAAGATATACTGATATACTGTCAGTCCTGTTCTACTTTGCCTGTATCCATAGCATACATAATATTAATAAGTCCTTTCAAGATTTTTATGCTGGTCATTATATTGACAAAGGCACGCTGAAGGGACTTTGATTCTTGCTGTCAAATGAAAAAATTGTTTTAAACTTCTGAGCACTTACTGTCTTAAGCTATATATTTTGATGATTTTCAATAATTTATAATTCTTAGAACTGTAAAAGAACACTAAATAGTAAAGTAGTTGGTTATAAATTATTTGAAAACCAAAAAAGAGTTTACTCTGTAAAAGACAGGCATAAACTTAAAAACACAGGCATACAAACATTTAATGGCAGAGTGGTAGCATCCCGAGATTTTTTTTAACAGCAAAATGATTCTTCAGCTATTTTTGGAAAAATCATTCATTTCTCCCTACATATCCATCTTGGTAACTTTCTTCTAAGTTGGTAACACAGCAGCAGCAACATTTTTAAAATGTTCAAAAATTTCTTTACACAAGTTTATTGAGAAGTAATAGTCCAGAACCTAAAGGATAAAATTTTGATAAAGTAGAATAATCCACTACTTTTCACCTAAAACTGATATTTAAACATCCCTCTTTCAAATTAAAAGTGTCATTTATACCTACCTCCTACTTATAATAAATAAAACTCAATTTATTATGGGATTTGAAAAAAAACTTGAAATACTTATTAGTATCATTTTCTTCTAATAAGATAACAAAAATTTTGATGTGTTTCTCAATAAAAGAAAAAGTTTTAAAAAAATATAATCATAGCTGTGATAAATCAGTTTGGGTTTACAGTTCTCAATTACTACTAATGTTTATTTGGTACTCTAGGAAACATTTAGAATTCCTGATTAAAGCATGTATTTTTCTAAGGCCAAGGTAAGTTAGCTATGTATGAAGTGTAAATGTTAGTATGATTATAAAGGCAATATGACCAATATGTATACATTCATTTTTTAAGTGATACATTACAAGCTACATAAAATACTATTTCATGTAAGACTATATCTTTGACCCTAAGCTTAGAAGCATAATTGCTGTAATACATTAAAAACACTTCATTTTTCCAATATTGTTAAGTATACTGTATTTTCAAATAACTAGTATAAATTTTTTTTGTACAGAGTTTAAAAAGTCATACCATTAGTGAGCTAGAACTACTGTGTTAATTGTATGAAAGAAGTTCACAAGAACAAAATTTAAAACTAAGCATACAATTATTGCATTTAATAAACAAACAAAAAAAACTGATCAATACCTTTTCTGGACTGGTTGTAAAAGGCGCACTTCTAATGGCCCTCTGGGTTTATAGAGGCTTTTAGAGGCAGTCTGTCTAATCATAGCAGGACCTATGAAAATGCTCAAACTATTTAGACTCAGTCATGGCACTTCAGGGAATTCTATTCATTCATTAATTTAGAAATATATCCTAGAGTATAGTTTGCCATAAGCAAAAACCTTTTTATGTACAAATTATTCACTGTAGTGTTATTTTTAATGCAAAATATCAGAAAAGTCTAACCAGTTTACCTGAGGGTAGGGCTTGGTGCATTATATTAGCAGAACTACTTATGTAGCCCTTTGAGATAAGTAAGACTATCTGGAAGCAAGAGAAAACCTATGGAATATCTGTGAAGAAAGCAGAATACAAGAGTTTGTACCTATCTTGCTAGGCCCAGGAGGAAATATAAATGTTGAAGGATAGTTGTGATCAGGTCATAGAGTTATGTATGAATCTGTTTTTTTTTCTTAAGAAACTTCCTTCATGCTTTAGTAACATCTTTTTTTTAATTAAGGTATTATTGATATACACTCTTATGAAGATTTCACAAGAAAAACAATGTGGTTACTGCATTCACCCTTATTATTGAATCCCCCCCAATACCCCATTGCAGTCACTGTCCATCAGTATAGTGAGATGCCTCAGAGTCCCTATTTGTCATCACTGATCTACACTGTCTTCCCCGTGGTTATTGTAAATAGTGCTGTGATAAACATAGGGGTGCATATGTCTTTTTGAATGTGAGAAGTTGTTTTCTTTGTGTAAATTCCTAGGAGTGGAGTTCCTGGGTCAAATGGTATTTCTATTTTTATTTTTTAAGGAACCTCCATATTGCTTTCCACAATGGTTGAACTAGTTTACATTCCCATCAGCAGTGTAGGAGGGTTCCCCTTTCTCTGCATCCTCGCCAGCATTTGTAGATCCTAGTCTTTTCGTTGTTGGCCATCCTAACTGGTGTGAGGTAATATCTCATTGTAGTTTTAATTTGCATTTATCTGATAATTAGTGATGTGGAGCATATTTTCATGTGCTTGTTGGACATCTGAATTTCTTCCTTGGAGAAGTGTCTGTTCATATCCTCCACCCATTTTTTAATTGGGTTATTTGCTTTTTGGGTGTTGAGGTGTGTGAGTTGTCGGATATGTCATTTACAAATACTACAATACTACAAATTCCTACAATACTGTAGGAAGCCTTTTTGTTCTGCTGATGGTGTCCTTTGCTGTACAGAAGCTTTTTAGCATGATGTAGTCCCATTTGTTCATTTTTTATTTTGTTTCTCTTGCCCAAGGAGATGCATTCAGGAAAAAGTTGCTCATGTTTATATTGAAGAGATTTTTGCCTGTGTTTTCTTCTTAGGGTTTTATGGTTTAATGACTTACAATCAGGTCTTTGATCAGTTTTGAGTTTACTTCTGTGTATGGAGTTAGACAATAGTCCAGTTTCATTCTCTTACATGTAGCTGTCCAGTTTTGCCAACACCAGTTGTTGAAGAGGCTGTCATTTTCCCATTTTATGTCCACAGCTCCATATCATATATTAACTGACCATATATGCTTGGGTTTATATCTGGGCTCACTAGTCTGTTCCATTGGTATATGGGTCTGTTCTTGTGCCAGTACCAAAATCGTCTTGATTACTGTGGCTTTGTAGTAGAGCTTGAAGTTGGGGAGCATAATTGCCCCAGCTTTATTCTTCTTTCTCAGGATTGCTTTGGCTATTCAGGGTCTTTTGTGGTTCCATATGAATTTTAGAATGATTTGTTTCAGTTCATTGAAGAATGCTGTTAGTATTTTGATAGGGATTGCCTTGAATTTGTACATTGCTTTAGGCAGGATGGCCATTTTGACAATATTAATTCTTCCTACCCATGACCACGGGATGTATTTCCATTTATTGATATCTTCTTTAATTTCTCTCATGAGTGTCTTGTAGTTTTCAGGGTATAGGTCTTTCACTTCCTTGGTTAGGTTTATTCCTAGGTATTTTATTCTTTTTGATGCAATTGTGAATGAAATTGTTTTCCTGATTTCTCTTTCTGCTAGTTCATCATTAGTGTATAGGAATACAACAGATTTCTGTGTATTGTAATTTTGTATCCTGCAACTTTGCTGAATTCAGATATTAGATCTAGTAGTTTTGGAGTGGATTCTTTAGTTTTTTTTTGACAATATCATGTCATCTGTAAACAGACAGTTTAACTTCCTCCTCGCCAATCTGGATGCCTTTTATTTCTTTGCGTTGTCTGATTGCCGTGGCTAGGACCTCCAGAACTATGCTGAATAAAAATGGGGAGAGTGGGCGTCCTTGTCTTGTTCATGATCTTGAAAAAGCTTTCAGCTTCTCACTGTTAAGTATGATGTTGGCCGTGGGTTTGTTATATATGGCCTTTACTACATTGAGGAATTTGCCCTCTATGCCCATTTGTTGAAAGTTTTTATCATGAATGGATGTTGAATTTTGTCAAATGCCTTTTCAGCATCTATGGAGATGATCATGTGGTTTTTGTCATTCATTTTGTTGATGTGGTGGATGATGATGATGGATTTTCAAATGTTGTACCATCCTTACATCCGTGGAATAAATCCTACTTGATCATGATGGATGATCTTTTTGATGTATTTTTGAATTTTGCTTGCTAATTGTTGAGTATTTTTGCAGGTATGTTCATCAGGAATATTGGTCTGTAATTTTCTTTTTTTGGTGATGTCTTTGCCTGGTTTTGGTATTAGAGTGATGCTGGCCTCATAGAATGAGTTTGGAAGTATTCCATCCTCTTCTACTTTTTGGAAAACTTTAAGGAGAATGGGTATTAGGTCTTCACTAAATGTTTGATAAAATTCAGCGGTGAAGCCATCTGGTCCAGGGGTTTTGTTGTTAGGTAGTTTTTTGATTACCGATTTAATTTCATTGCTAGTAATTGGTCTGTTCAGATTTTCTGTTTCTTTCTGGGTCATCCTTGGAAGGTTGTATTTTTCTATAAAGTTGTCCATTTCTTCTAGATTATCCGGTTTGTTAGCATATAATTTTTCATAGTATTCTCTAATAATTCTTTGTATTTCTGTAGTGTTCGTAGTGATTTTTCCTTTCTCATTTTTGATTCTGTTTATGTGTGTAGACTCTCTTTTTTTCTTGATAAGTCTGGCTAGGGGTTTATCTATTTTGTTTATTTTCTTGAACAACCAG